CCTGCATTGCTCAGAGAAGCACAGAGACCCAGTGATCATGTCACTGGATCTATAATAATGTAATGAACATGGAAAAGTTTTATTTGAAACTTTTATTAGCATGTTGATGAAGGGCGCCGGGAGAAACCAGGGGAAAAAAAACCTATAAGGAGCTTTAAACTTTGCAACAGCAGCTATTAGTATAACCCATAAAAATAAGCTGCAGCCTGAAAACTTGGATGTGACGAAGTAATTGTAGGAGAAATATTATCAAACTATAACTGCGACATATTAAATATAATTGGAGTTTGCTTTTATTGAACAAAAACACATAGTTGAGGTTACGGGGGAATAGATCGACCCCAAACGGGCAATTTTGTGGCTTAAATATTTTCGCAGAGTGTACGAAATAGAAATCTCTCATTGTTTTCTGCTGAACATTGTTGAACTAACGCTGGAACCGAATTGTGTCTCTGGAATTGGCAGCGGGATTTGGCCGCCGCTGGATGAAATTTTTTTTTTTTTTTTTGCTTTCATTTTTGGACAGTGGCGATTATTCCGCTGGATTATTGAATATTAGGAACGTCAGGCATGCAGAAAACTTTCTTTTTTATATAACTCAAATATTTTTTTTTTAATTCAAATATAATGATCGCAGAAATTGCTGGAAATTGTCTCTAGGATATCATATTTTCAGGTACATATGTCATATGGATTTACTGTTCCTGGCAATGGAACTTCTCGTGATAAAAACGGCTTTTATGTTTGATACAAATATATATGACATAAATGTCGCCTAAATTAGTAGATACAACAGACTTGATTCTCTATGCTGATGTTTCTCAACCAGAGTACCATTCAGGTTCCACCGGGGGACCACGAGACAGTATGCCCTGGATCAGGGCCTGTGGGAGGGCCTGGGATGGGGGGGGGGGGCTGTGTGATTGGCAGCAGGACTGGGACAAGGGGTGGGTGAGAGGGGCAGCTGCCCTGGGCTCAAAGGTTTACTGTAGGGATGGGGGCACTTTCCAATTATGACAGGAGTAGTGACCGCGACAGTGATTTTGACAAGCAAGTGACTGATGGGTGTAGGATCCCCCAAGCTTGCACATCATGAATGGGGGGGGGGGGGGGCGCGCAGTTTGGTGTCTTTGCCTAGGGTGCTGGATGACCTTGTCCCGGCTCTGTGATGGGCAGACTCTGTGTTTGGGGGGCTCTGTGATGGATACTCAATGATTGGGGGGCTCTGTGATGACGGAGGGATTCTGTGCTGATGGGGGGGGGACTCTGATGTGTTGGGGGACTCTGATACTTTTGAGGTGTTTCTCACCAGAGTGCCATTGGAGTTCCACCGCGGTGCCCCTGAGCATATAGTTTTCCCTGGATCAGGACCTGTAGGAGGGTCTATGATGGGGGGACTATGTGATTGGGTTTGCTCTGTGTTGGGGAGACACTATGACTGGGGGACTCTGTGATAAGGAGATACTGTGATGAGAGGACCACATTTTTCCACCAGCTGTCCACCATTGTAACACCTACTAACATAAATGTCGCCTAAATTAGTAGATAGAACAGACTTGATTCTCTATGCTGATGTTTCTCAACCAGAGTACCATTGGGGTTCCACCGGGGTGCCACGAGACAGTTTGCCCTGGATCAGGGCCTGTGGGAGGGCCCGGGATGGGGGGGGGGGCTGTGTGATTGGCAGCAGGACTGGGACAAGGGGTGGGTGGGAGGGACAGCTGCCCTAGGCTCAAAGGTTTACTGTAGGGACAGGAGCACTTTCCAATTATGACAGGAGTAGTGACTGCAACAGTGATTTTGACAAGCAAGTGACGGATGGGTGTAAGATCCCCCAAGCTTGCACATCATGGATGGGGGGCGCAGTTTGGTGTCTTTGCCTAGGGTGCTGGATGACCTTGTCCCGGCTCTGTGATGGGCAGACTCTGTGTTTGGGGGGGCTCTGTGATGGATACTCAATGATTGGGGGGCTCTGTGATGAGGGAGGGATTCTGTGCTGATGGGGGGGGACTCTGATGTGTTGGAGGACTCTGATATTATTGAGGTGTTTCTCACCAGAGTGCCATTGGCGTTCCACCACGGTACCCCTGAGCATATAATTTTGCCTGGATCAGGACCTGTAGGAGGGTCTATGATGTGGGGGACTGTGTGATTGGGTCTACTCTGTGTTGGGGAGACACTATGACTGGGGGACTCTGTGATAAGGAGATACTGTGATGAGAGGACCACATTTTTCCACCAGCTGTCCACCAATGTAACACCTGCTAACATAAATGTAAGGGGACTTTCACTGTGGACCACCATTGTAAGGGAAGCCCTTCTCTACTGACCACCAACGTAAAGCAAGGCCTTCTTTTTATGTAAATTACATTCTTCAACAGTCCATCAATATGAGGAGTCCCCCCACTTACCATAAATGTAAAAGGCCCCTTTTCTCTGCCACCAATGTAGGGGAGTCCTTCTCCAGAGACCATCAATGTACGAAGCCTTCTCCACTGGCCATTAATGTGGTAAGCCTTTTCTGTTGACCATCCATGTAGGAAGCCTTCTCCACTGACCATCAAAATAAGATGGCTTTTCTCCAATGACCATCAACTGAGGAAGACTTCTTCACAGACCATCAATATAAGAAGCATTCTCTAGTGACCATCAATGTAGGAAGCCATCTTCACTGACCATTAATGTAGGAAGCCATCTTCACTGACCATCAATGTAGGAAGCCATCTTCACTGACCATTAATGTAGGAAGCCATCCTCGCTGACCATCAATGTAGGAAGCCATCTTCACTGACCATTAATGTAGGAAGCCATCTTCACTGACCATCAATGTAGGAAGCCATCTTCACTGACCATCAATGTAGGAAGCCATCCTTGCTGACCATCAATGTAGGAAGCCATCTTCACTGACCATCAATTTAGGAAGCCATCTCCACTGACCTTTAATACAAGAAGCCTTGTCCACTGATATAAGAAGCCTTGTCCACTGACCACCAAAATAGGAAGTCTTCTCCAGTGGCCATCAATGTAGGAAGCCTTTTCCACTGACCATAAATATAGGAGGCCATCTACACCGTGATGATAGGGCTTTGTGATGGAGGGACTCTGATATTACGGAAGTGCTTATCAACCAGGGTGCCATTGGGGTTCCACCTGGGTGCTACAAGCACAGAACAAAGTTTGCCCTGGATCAGGGACTTTGGGAGGGCCTATGATGGGGGGACTGTGTGATTGGCGGGGGGCTCCGTGATTGGGGACTTTGTGATGGGGAGACACTGTGATGAGAGGACTCTGTGTGATTGGGGGGGGGGGCTAAAATCTGATGTGATGGAGGACTTTGACATGATGGGGGGAGCTCTCAAGTGATGGGATTTGAAGGGGGACTCTCATGTGATAGGACAGCGTCTGATGTGAAGGGGGGGAGCCTGATATGATGGGAGGACCTCTGATATGAAGGGGGGACTCTGATCTGATGGGGGGGCTCTCGTGACGGTAGAACATCTGATGTGAAGGGGGGACTCTGATCCTACGGGGGGCTTACATGTGATTGGAGGACCTCTGATGTGATTGGAGGACTCCTGATATGAAGGTTGCTCTCATTTGATGTGATTGGAGGACCTCTGAAGTGAAGGGGGCTCTCATCTGTTGTGATTAGAGGACCTCTGGTGTGAAGGGAGGACTCTGATGTGATGGAGGACCTCTAATGAATTGGGGTTTCTGGTGTGAAGTTCATGGCAGCTGTGTGCATTGCCCCAGGCTCAGGTTTCCTAATGATGAGTAAAATTTATGTTTTTTACATTTTAGGCCTCATGCACACAGGATGTTTATTTAACTCTCCTAGACGCAAGCAGCGTTTTTGCAGACAAAATGCCTGACGTTTGTAAAAGTGTCTAAAGCTTTTTACAAGTTTTTAGGAGCTTTTACAGGTGTCAAGCTCTTGAGCATTCACTCTTGTTATTGGCCAGGATAAATAATATATTATAGCCATCAAAATGAATTAATGCTCATCGCTACGTGCGTCTAGAATTAAGGCACGTTTAGCAAATTTAGTAGCGCCAAGCGTTTTTCTGCCCAAACTCTGCTACTCCTGAATGCATTGGCAGTGGGGTTTTTCCCTTCCTTTAAAATCCCCGGCCCCTTAAAGCTTCTAAAGGTTTATGTGTGCATGAACACATAGGATAACAGGGAGGGGCGTTTGGAAGCAGTAAAACAAAATGCCTGATGCAGGCCATAGACGGGCCGTTTATCAGCCGAATTGTCGGCCAATAAACTAAAAATCTGTCCGTGCCGATGCTGCCACCAATGCGCATGAAAGAATGGGACAAGAAACCAGTTTGACAGAGACGGGGGAGCGCACCGTACAATGTGACAGCAATACAAATACATTATGTTTTTATTTGGATACATTTGTAGCAACCGAAAGACTTTTCATATAAAATATAATATCGGACTGGACTTCCAGTTCATAGGAAGGATTCAGGTGTCTCCCATTCCTATGATCAATTCTTCTCCTTTTCTCCTTCCTTCCTTCCTTCTTTCCTTCCTTCCTTCCTTCCTTCCTTCCTTCCTTCCTTCCTTCCTTCCTTCCTTCCTTCCTTCCTTCCTTCCTTCCTTCCTTCCTTCCTTCCTTCCTTCCCTCCTTTCTTCTTTCCCTTCTTCTTCTCCTTCCTTCCTTCCTTCCCTTCTTCTTCTCCTTCCTTCCTTCCCTTCTTTTTCATTCCTTCCTTCCCTTCTTTTCCTTCCTTCCTTCCTCCCTTCCGTCCTACCTTCCTTCCTTCCGTCCATCCTTCCTTCCTTCCCTTCTTTTTCATTCCTTCCTTCCTTCTCTTTTTCTTCTCCTTCCTTCCTTCCTTCCCTTCTTCTTCCTTTCTTCCCATCTTCTTCCTTTCTTCTTCTTCTTCTTCTTTCTTCTTTCTTCTTCTTCTTTTTCCTTCTTTTTCCTTCTTCTTCTTTCTTCTTCTTCTTTCTTCTTCTACTTTTTCCTTCATTTTCCTTCATCTTCTTTCTTCTTCTTTCTTCATTGTTCTTCTTCCTCCTTCTTCTTTCTTCTTCTTCCTCTTTTTCTTTCTTCCTCTTCTTCTTTCTTCTTCTTCCTCTTTCTTCTTCTTCTTTCTTCTTCTTCCTCTTTCTTCTTCTTTCTTCTTCTTCCTCTTTCTTCTTCTTCTTTCTTCTCCCTTTCAACCAAATATTAATGTATGTAACAAATATCATAGGTATTTTTTTTATTCTTACTTTTTTCTTTGGAATTAGACACCCTCTCTTAGAGAATGGCTGTGATAATAGCTAGTAGTTCAAGTAGACTTGTAATGTTGAAGATGTTTTGAAGCTTACCCAAGTCACCTTTTCAGTTCTGATTAACGTCAGGAACATACCCCAGCATTTATATCCTCACAGGTGGCACTAAAACCTTGATCCAGTCACCATGGAATGTGTCAAGGCAGATACTGATTGTCCAAGAATAGAATGGGAGTTGAGAATGTTGTGGAACTATCCTGTTCTAGTTGTGGAACCATCCTTGGTGTGCACATGGTGTCAATCATTCTGGTCACATGGCTGAAGAAGTAAATTTTCAAATCTCTGTGATCAGTGTTTTAAGTGTGACCCCATACAAAGAAATTAGGGGTGTGTCACTTCAGGCTCTAATAGGTCCTTCTATGCTCATAACCTTTGGGGGTGCAGAGAGGGAAAGAGCTTGTCTTAGCTCTACAGAAGTCAATGAGAAAGGAAATTCAGAAGCCCCTGGAACCGCACATCACATAAAACCCTCATGTGAAGAGTGGAAGCAGCCTCAGCCTAAACTCCGTCCAGGACACAGCCCTAACATGTTTTGCCCCGCTTACAGGACTTAGTCATGGGGATGACTAAGTGGAATTATAAGTGGAAAACATTGAAGGCCTCCACCTTTGTTCAGGGATGGTTGCTTCATTTTGACATAGATGGCCTAGTTCACACCTCTTGCAAACAAGTCGTCCCAAGTCGTCCTCTCTGTCCAAAATTTGCACCTCACTGCCCTCAAAAGAATGTCTTTTCCTTAAGATTTAGGAAGACTTGACCTGTAGAACTTGCCCTCCCATGTTGGGTCGTTTGCTTGTTGGGAGGTTGACAACCTACAGGGCTTTGTAATCCTCACAACATCGTATTGCATATACCAAGTAACTTGGCTTGAGTTTGGATGTTGGGTCTTTTGGATGTACAAGCTTCTGAATGTCCATTTTTCTTAAGATGTAGAAAGACTTGACCTGTAGAATGTGCCCTCCCATGCTGGGCCCTTTGTTTGTTGGGAGGTTGACAATCTACGGGTCTTTGTATTCCTACAACATTGCACGGCATAGACCAAATAGCTTGGCTTGAGTTTGGGTGTTTGGTCTTTTGGATGTACAAGCTTCTGAAAATCCATTAGGATGTAGGAAGACTTGACCTGCAGAATTCTCTCTCCTATGGTGGGCCATTTGTTTGTTGGAAGGTTGACAACATATAGATATACTGTTCGTATCCCTCACAACACTGCAATGCATATACCAAGTAACTTGTCTTGAGTTTGGGTGTTGGGTCTTTTGGATGTACAAGCTTCTGTCTCAGCAAATTGCTGGGCTAGAAATATACAGGGATTGAATGTTAGTTAAAGATGTTATTGGTAATACAAGTTCTCATAGATCTTCATATAATGATCCTACATATGAGACAGTGCTATACCTTTGAGCAAGAAGATGTTTCATATTGGTACTTTTAAGACAGTATATATACAGAAGGTATCAATGTCTATGTATAATAATTTTTTTTGTTTGTTTTTGGAATGAATTTTTGACAATATTCAGACATCGAGTACAAATCACTGTAATCTTGTTCCCTTTCAGGTTCATATAGACACCAAAAGTGCCACCCAGATGTTTGAGCTGATAAAGAAGAAGATGAAGCACACGGATGGGTACCCTTACCTGCTGTCCATCCTTCAGCACTGCCTGCAGATGCCGTGTAAGTACGGTACGTCAGTAGGGGCCCTTCCTCTGAGTGGTGGTGGAAGTCTATGAATGGAGAGGAGAAGCTTACTTAACTTTCAAACTTCCAAATGCTGTGATTGGCTATTAGTTGGTATGATTGGCAAATACATTGTTTTAAAAAGGAGGAGCTTCAAAGTGGTCAAAGATGCTCAACCTTGGCTGCTAATTTAGGAGCTGTTGGGCTCCTTGCTGCATGCCAAGCGCTCTTCTCCAGTGTTAGGACACAGAAGCAAATGGTACTCAGTGGTAATGTACAAAATGGGTCCATCAAGCTGAACAAAAACAATGCAACCCCAAGTCCACGTATGTCTTTCACCAGATTGCTACCATATGTAGTAGTCTAGACATCCAGATTATCATTAATGTCATCAAATATCCAACATATAATTCTTTAGCCAGCTTAAATAATAGCTAAAAATCAAAACCGTCAGCAGTGGCAGGAAAGCCATCTAAGTCTCTGCATTTGGGGGCTGCCATTGGTCAATATTCCTCTACAGCAGATCTCCTTAGCCTTTCTCAGATTGGCCAATAGAGGGTAGAGATGTAAACTCTACGGGCTAATGCGCTTCTGTGAATCAAGTCTTCTTAAGAGTCTTTGATGTAGGAGTTGATACTCCGAAACACAGCAGTAGCAGCAGGAGAGCTCCCTAAGTCACTCTACTTGGGGATTACCATTCCTCAGCATTCCTTTACAGTAGTTGCACTTCAAAATCTCCTTAGCTCTTCTCAGGTTGGCCAGCAGAGGGTAAGGATGTAACTGCACCCAGCGATGCGCTTCCAGGTATCAACCCCTTCGTAAGAGCTTCTGCTGAAGAAGTTGATACCCAGAAATGCATTAGTATAGGCAAGAGAGCCTCCTAAGTCACTTCATTTGGAGGCTGCTATTCCCCTACAGCAGTTCCACTTCGAGAACTCCTTAGCCTTTCTCCGGTTGGCCAGTAAAGTGTGGAGATGCAACTGTACCTATTGACTCATTTTCAGATATTTACCCCTTTGCCAGAATTCCTGATGAAGGGTTTGATACTCCAAAATGTGTTAGTATTGGCAAGAGAGCCCCCTAAGTCACTCTACATGGAGCCTGCCATTCCTCAGTGTTCCTCTATAGCAGTTCAACTTCGTGACCACTAGAGATGAGCGAATTATTCAAAAATTCGGTTCGGCTGATTCGCCGAATTCGCGGAATAAACTTTGCTTCGAGCCGAATATATTCGCTGCGAATTTAACTTATAAAAGGGTGTTTCTAGGCTTCAGAGAGCCTTTATATTAGTGCAGAACACTGTACCTTTAATTTAAATGCCCTTGGAGTCTGCTGGGGAAGAGAAATAATACTGTCAGTCAGTATGACATGCAGATGAGTGCCGTCGATCTTAGAATCACCGCACACTTCACTCATTTGGGCAGTCACGGGGCCAAAACCAGAGTGTGGAGCCACAGTGTGGCGGTGGAGGCAGCAGCAATGGGAGGCCATACAGCACCCTATGACAAAAATGGAACCCACCAGCAGTGTGAGGAGACCTGAAAGTGGCACATGGCAGAGTGTGGCGATGGAGACAGCAGCAATGGGAGGCCGTACAGGGACCCATGACACACTCTGGACCTGGCAGCAGCATGAGGAGTCGGTACGGGGGCCCATGGCAGATTACGGGCCTGGCAGCAGCATGAGGAGGCGGTACAGGGGCCCATGGCAGAGTGGCGGAGCGTAAGCAGCTAAAATTGAAGGCCATACAGAGGCCTATGTTAAAAAGTCCCCCCAGCAGCAGCGTGGGGAGACGACTATCAAGAGTCCAATGGCAGAGTGGCGGAGCAGAAGCAGCTTCAATTGAAGGCCATACACAGGCCTAGGTTTAAAAGTCCCTCACAGTTAATTCCAATAACGAACTCTACTCCTCCATGCAATCTACTTACGAGACCCTGGGCAGGTCTGGGTCAAATTTGTGGTAGAGACTGGTTTTGTTCAGCCATGCTTGAGCGAGTAATAACAGGTCTGTGCTGCCCTTTGGTGTCTGGCTTAATGCGCACAACACTGAACGTCCCAGCGTTTGTCAACGATTTGCCGTTAAGTGATGCAAACCCGCTGAACCACGTTCATGAGGAGCCGGTACAGGGGGCCATGAATCAGTATGGACCTGGCAGCAGCGTGAGCAGACGACAGAGGCACATGGCGCAGGGTGGCGGTGGAGGCAGCATTATTCTGAAGCCATACACAGGCCTCAGTTAAAAAGCGGAAGCCGTCAGCAGCGTGAGCAGACGACAGAGGCACATGGCGCAGGGTGGCGGTGGAGGCAGCAGCAATGGAAGGCCATACAGCACCCTATCACAAAATGGAACCCACCAACAGTGTAAGGAGACCTGAAAGTGGCACATGGCAGAGTCTGGCGATGAAGTCAGCGGCAATGGGAGGCCGTACAGGGACCCATGACACACTCTGGACCTGGCAGCAGCATGAGGAGGCGGTACAGGGGCCCATGGCAGAGTGGCGAAGCGTAAGCAGCTTAAATTGAAGGCCATAGAGAGGCCTATGTTAAAAAGTCCCCCCAGCAGCAGTGTGGGGAGACGACTATCAAGAGTCCAATGGCAGAGTGGCGGAGCGGAAGCAGCTTCAATTGAAGGCCATACACAGGCCTAGGTTAAAAAGTCCCCCCAGCAGCAGCGTGGGGAGACGACTATCAAGAGTCCAATGGCTGAGTGGCGATCCGGGAAGTCAGCGTTGTGATTGCAGATGCAATGCAGAAATTCTACGAAGTAATGCCGTGGGTGCGAAGAAGATCATATACCGTCGTACTTCCATCCATAAGACGGAACAACCTGCGAACCGGGAGCTTTATTGCCCTGACCCGCTGAGCAGCTTCTGGGATACCCAAGAGTTTGGCTTCTGTGGGGAATATGGTTGAAAACTGAAACTTAAAGGCATGTTGACGGAAGGGCACCAGTGTCAGTGCTCCGGAGGGAATATAGCTTCAAAGCTGACACTTAAAGGTATATCGACGGTCAGAGACCACAGGAAGTGGAGCTTGCGTCTTAAATCGACTGAATGTGGCAGACGTGAAACGTCTACGGGCCGTATATGAAACGGGTTGTTCCTCTTTCTGGAATAAGTGTTGGAAATGGCCACTCTTTTTGGTGTGGCGTTTTGTCTATTTAATTCCGATAACGGACTCTACTCCTCCGTGCAATCTAGTTACGAGACCCCTGGGCAGGTCTGGGTCCAATTTGTGGTAGAGACTGGTTTTGTTCAGCCATGCTTGAGCGAGTAATAACAGGTCTGTGCTGCCCTTTGGTGTCTGGCTTAACGCGCACAACACTGAACGTCCCAGCGTTTGTCAACGATTTGCCGTTAAGTGATGCAAACCCGCTGAACCACGTTCATGAGGAGCCGGTACAGGGGGCCATGAATCAGTATGGACCTGGCAGCAGTGTGAGGAGACCCGAAAGTGGCACATGGCGCAGGGTGGCGGTGGAGGCAGCAGTATTCGGAAGCCATACACAGGCCTTGGTTAAAAAGCGGAAGCCGTCAGCAGCGTGAGCAGACGACAGAGGCACATGGCGCAGGGTGGCGGTGGAGGCAGCAGTATTCGGAAGCCATACACAGGCCTAGGTTTAAAACTGGAACCCAGCAGCGTGAGCAGACGACAAAGACGCACATGGCAGAGATGGATCTGGCAGCAGTATGAGAAGGCGGTACAGGGGCCCGTGGCACAGTGTGGTGATGGGGCTACAGCAACTGGATGCCAGAAAGTGGCCGATAGGGCTATATACTGCATGGAATTATAAAGTTGTAAAGACAGCGGCCTATAAGGCTATACACACTATAACAATCATGACTTGATTGACCATTGGCCTATAAGGCTATACACAGCATGAATATCATGACTTATTCTGAGAGTGGTTTGGAAGGCTATATACAAAAAGTAATTCATGAGCTGTCCGGACAGCGGACAATAAGTACATATATACAAATCAATTCATCAGCTGTCCAGCCAGCGGCCTCAAAGGCGACACATATAGAAAGCAATTCATGAGCTGTTCAGACAGCGGCCTCTAAGGCGACAGATATACAAAGCAATTCCCGAGGTGTTCAGTGAGCGGCTTGAACGGCTAGGTTATTACTAAATATATCTTTCTGGCCAAACATCGGCCTATAAATAGATGTCTACACAGTGACAAAAAAGTAGGTCGCCTTACAGCGGCGTATCCTACAAAATTGACATTATAAGAAATGGTTTAGACCAAAAAAAAACAAAAAAAACTTTGATGCGATGCTATACCTTAGTAGATTGTGGAAAGTCGACAAGTCAAGCGTAACTGTGTACATTACAGAAAATCTTAACAAGACAACCAAACATGTGGCCAAACCGTGACCGATACAACAAGTTAACAATGTAAGAGACAGGAGGGGGGCCAAACCGTGCCCAATAAATAAACAGTCCACCTCATTGATGAGATGGACAACACGTGTCAAATAAATATTTAAAAAAATTGCTATTCCATCGGTCTGGAACTGGTCGACTATAAATAATTAAAAAGTTTAAATTCATGTGACAGTCGTCCAGCGACGTATAAATAATTTAAAAACACCAATTAATGAGGGGCCCGACCAGCAGAGTATAAGTCATTAAAAAGGTTCAATTCATGTGACGGTCGTCCAGCGAAGTATAAATAATTAAAAACCCCAATTCATGAGGGGCCCGACCTGCAGAGTATAAGTCATTAAAAATGTGCAAAACATGAGTCGGCCGACCAGCAGCCTCTCAATAAAATATATATACAAATGTACGGATCAGGTGGAGGTCTTCCATTTGTCCCTAATAACATGTTTGGGGCATGATTCATGGCGGATTTAGTCAGTTGTGTCAGGAACTGGTGGTTTGAAATCCAGACTAATCCACGCCTGATTCATTTTCACAAACGTGAGTCTCTCCACACTTTGGGGGTGGACAGTCGTGTCCTCTGCGGAGTTACAATACCTCCTGCCGCACTAAACACGCGCTCCGATGCCACGCTACTGGCCGGGCATGACAGCCTTTCAAGGGCAAATTCAGCTAGTTGGGGCCAAAGGTCAAGTTTCGTTGCCCAGTAGTCAAGGGGATTGTCTACCTCGGTTGGCAGGGTGCTGTCCAAGTAGGCCCAAGCCTGTTGTTTGAGGTCCTGCTCCAGGTCCACCTGATGCTGCTGCTGCTGCGCGGCTGGTTAGTAGTTTCCTCACTGCGCTGGTGAAGAAAGCTACTCATCATCGACTGCAGACTGAGGCAGCCGCTGCTGGTGGAGCTGCCACTGCTCCTACCACCCCACCCCTCCCCTGCTGCCATGGCAGCGGAACGCGAGCGCACAGGGCCCACAGTGTCTGAGGATGGACGTTGGCGGAGAAAGGCAGAGACCAACTGACTACATAGGTGGTTTTTATAGTACTTTATTTTGGCCTCCCTCTCAGCAGGTGTGAAAAAGGCCACCATTTTTGAATGGTAGCGAGGGTCCAACAAGGTGGACAGCCAAAAGTCATCCCTCTGTCTGATGGTTATTATTCGGCTGTCGCTACGCAAGCAACCGAGCATGCTATGGGCCATTTGTGCCAAGGAATGCGAGGGACTCCCTGCCTCCATCTCCACAGCATACTGCCATGGTGCGTCTGGGTCCTCTGTCTCCTCCTCCTCCTCTACCAGATGCTCCTGCTCCTCCACTCCTGTCCGCTGAGTGGAAAAACCACCCATTTCACTCAATAATTCCTGAGCACCAATGTCCTCCTCTACCTCATCCTCTTCTTCCTGTCCTGCCCCCACAGGGGTCATGTGGCGTTGAGATCTGTGCGCCATGTCTACCGCACCCTGACCAGCCATTGTTAACAGCATTTGTTCCAGGACGTGCAACAGAGGAATGACGTCGTTCATCCCATAGTCCTGCCGACTCACGAATAGCGTGGCCTCCTCAAAGGGCCTGAGCAAGCGGCAGGTGTCACGCATGAGCTGCCAATGGCTGACATCTAAGTTACACAGGGAGTACCTTTATCCGCTTGTAACATCAGGAAATCGGTGATGGCCTTTCGCTGTTCGTAAAGGCGGTCTAACATATGTAGGGTTGAATTCCACCTTGTTGCAACGTCGCAGATCAGGCGATGCTGTGGAATTCCGTTCTGCTGCTGCAGCTCAAGGAGGGTGTGCTTTGCAGTGTAGGAATGGCTGAAATGCATGCAAAGTTTACGTGACATTTTAAGGATGTCTTGCAGTGGGATGGTGGATTTTAGGAACCGCTTGACAACCAGATTGAACACGTGAGCCATGCATGGCGCATGGCACAACCTTCCTTGACGCAGAGCAGACACCATGTTGGTGGCGGCTGAGGACACGGCGGAAGAAGAGGTGGTAGAGGCGGACATCTTTGCTGGACCAAGGACGTGCAAACGTGGAGGCAAAAGCGGCGTGACCTGTCCAAGTTGCTGGTACGGCTGTGCCGGCACCACCTTCACCCAGTGGGCCGTAAATGACATGTACTGTCCCTGACCGTAGTTACAGCTCCACACGTCGGCGCTGCCGTGCACTTTGGCAGAGACCGACATGCTCAAAGACTGGCCCACCATCTCTTCTACATGTGAATGCAGGGCTGGCACTGCCTTTTTGGCGAAGAAATGACGGCTTGGCACTCTCCACCGCGGCGCGGCACAAGCCATCATTTCTCGGAAAGGTGCTGAGTCCACCACTTGGAAAGGGAGGGACTGCAGCACCAGCAACTTGGACAGGAGGACGTTCAGCTTTTGCACCGTCGGGTGCGTGCTCGCAAACTGTTGTCTCTTGGAAACGGATTCCAAGAAAGACTGCTGACGGAATCCGTGAAGAGGAGTAGCAGGAGAAGGAGCATCTGAACGAGCGGAAGATGCCAACGAGCGACAACTCCCCTCAGCAGAGGTGTTGGAGCCTTGACTGGCTGATAGAGGGCGATTGACGTCGGGTGACGGAGCAAGTAACGGAGCGGGTGATGGAGCGGGGGCTGGGGCAGGCAGAACCGCCGTATCTTTATCACGGTTTTCCCAGGCCACCGAATGGCGACGCTGCATATGCTGACACAACGCTGTAGTCCCAACATGGGCCCCCTGGCCACGCTTAACTTTCTGGCCACATAGTCGACATACGGCTACGTTTACTTCCTCGGGCGGCTTGACGAAAAATTGCCACACCGCCGAGTAGGAAACTTTGCCCCCGATACTCCTCACTGGCTGACTGCTGCTTCCTCCGTGCACACCGGCACCACTACTGGCCGTGGGTGGTAGGCTGCAGTGGAGCTGGTGCTCTACTCCGTGGCCGTTTGGCTCCACTGACACTGCTGCGACCCTGCTGCCTCCTGGGCAACCCACCGACTGTTTTGCTGGCTGGCAAGCTGCCACCCTCTTCTCCTGATGATGCGGAAGCAATAGCCTGATGACGACGAGGCTGCCAAGTGCGATCAGCCTCATCATCATCAATTAGGGTCTCCGCGTCACTACTAGCCCCCTCGGCTGCGTCTGGGTCAGGAGACAGACCTGTCTCTAGACCGGCTACCGAGCCACTCTCCTCGCCACTACTTCTTCGCCTGGCTGCTGAAGAGGCGGATGTCTCCCCCCGTTCCTGACCGCCCTCTGTTAGCTCTTCCTCACTGTACAGTGGGGCTGAGCCCACAGCATGCGATACTTCGCTTGGTGAGGGAACACCAAAGGACAGGGGCAGGTCGAGGACACGTGATTTCAGTGGGCTTGCTCCCGGGCCATGCCAACTAACGGTTGTGTCTGACGTACCCACCGACCGTTGGCTGTAGGTGTCAGAGGTGACCTGGGAAGAGGAAGACGACCGAGTCAACCAATCGATGACGGCAGGGTTGTCGGTGGAGACACGACCGCTGGATGACACCGGGAGCACTGGCCTCTGGCTGCGAATAGTGCTGCCTCGACCCCTTCCTCTGCTGCCACGTCTGCTCGCTCCTAAAACATTGCCTCCTCTGCCACTCCTCTGCGTGTTGTCTGACATACTCTTTAATTCAATAAGCACCCCAAAAATAAAACCGGATTTAACTCTTTGAACGTACAATAGTGGTTGTGAAGCAGAAAGTCAGTTTATTGTACACAATCGGTCAATTGCAGCTTGCCGTTGGCTGGAAACTGTACGTTTCTGTCACTGGAATGCACTAATCACCCAAAAAATATTACCGCCAGCCGGCGTGTAAATGGATTTAACTCTTTGAATGTACAATAGTGGTTGTGAAGCAGAAAGTCAGTTTATTTTGCACAATCGGCAAACTGCAGCACCAACTGTGCACGACAGCCACCAAAAAAAGAAAGGGTGTATGTCACTTTAAATTTTCGATTCTTTGATAGCTGTGGCCCTAAGTAACGATTCTGTGTTCCTGAGTAACGATTCTGTGTCCCTGAGTAACGATTCTGTGTCCCTGAGTAACGATTCTGTGTCCCTGAGTAACGATTCTGTGGCCCTAAAGTCTCTGTGGCCCTAACTCTGTCCCTAATACACAGAGGTCTGTCTCTCTTGAATGACCGGAGGCTAATGGAGAATTCTAAGATGGCCGCGATTTATAGCTCCACCATTACACAGTGCTGGCTGGCTGCTGATTGGCTAATGCGATCACATGTCATGAATGCATTATGGGTCAGCGCGCCTTGTCTGCGCGCCTTCCCAGAGATCCCCGCCCCATCTTCTCTGTCCATTTTCTCCGTCGCCACACATGTCGCCGCCATTTTTGGGAAAATTCGATTCGTGCATCCGAAGTTTGCTAATCTTCGGATTCGTCGCGAATAGAATTTTTCCAAATCTTCGGAACGAATTCCACTTCGTCATGTTCGATTCGCTCATCTCTAGTGACCACCTTAGCTCTTCTCAGGTTGGCCAGCAAAGGGTAGAGATGTAACTGTACCCACAGATGCATTTCTGGGTATTGACCACTTCCTCAGAGTCTCTGATAAAGCAGTTGATACCCCAAAATACATTAATAATGGCAGGAGAGCCCCCTAAGTCACTCCACTTGGAGATTGCCATACTTCTACAGCAGTTCCACTTCAAGATCTCCTTAGTACTTCTCATGTTGGCCAGTAGAGGTTAGAGAAGTAACTCTGCCCACTAATGCATTTCCAGGTAGCAGACCCCTTCGTAAGAGTCTCTGTTGAAGAATTGGATACTCAGAAATGTGTTAGTATTGGCAACAGAGCCCCCCCAAGTCACTCCATTTGAAGATTGCCATTCCTTTACAGTAGGTCCACTTCAAGATCTCCTTCGAACGTTTCAGGTTGGCCAGTAGAGCGTTTCCCGTTCTCTGCACATCAGCCCTGTTATTAGTCAGTTAATTTCAATTTAATTGCAAGTCTCAAGTTTCTTTTAGGATAATGATATTGTCTTCTACAATACATATACCTTTCTTGTTTCTAGAATCATTGTTACTGTTTTTATGTCAAGACACAAATTCTTTAGTACACCTGGTATTATGCATGACCCCATTAAACTGACAGAGGGGCCCGAGAATCGAAAGCAGAGTACAGGGGGTCAGCAGGGCAGAAGATCGGGTCAGCAGTTTGTAGGGCAGTGTACAGGGGCATTCATTTGTACAGTAGTGTAGAGGGGTTTGCAGGGCGGAGGGCAGGGTTCAGAAGGGCAATGTACAGGGTCCACAGGGTGGAAGACAAGGGCCAACAAGGCAATGTACAATGGTTCGCAGGGTGGAACACAGGAGTCAAAAAGGCAGTGTGCAGGGGTCAGCAGAGCTAAGGACAGGGGTCAGCAGAGCCAAGGACAGGGGTCAATGCTGGCAGGGAGAGGACAGGGGTCACTGCTGGCAGGGCAGAGAGACAGGGGTCACTGCTGGCAGGGCAGAGAGACAGGGGTCACTGCTGGCAGGGCAGAGAGACAGGGGTCACTGCTGGCAGGGCAGAGAGACAGGGGTTACTGCTGGCAGGGCAGAGAGACAGGGGTCACTGCTGGCAGGGCAGAGGGACAGGGGTCACTGCTGGCAGGACAGAGGACAGGGGTCACTGCTGGCAGGACAGAGGACAGGGGTCACTGCTGACAGGGCAGAGAGACAGGGGTCACTGCTGACAGGGCAGAGAGACAGGGGTCACTGTTGACAGGGCAGAGGACAGGGGTCACTGTTGACAGGGCAGAGGACAGGGGTCACTGTTGGCAGGGCAGAGGACAGGGGTCACTGTTGGCAGGGCAGAGGACAGGGGTCACTGTTGGCAGGGCAGAGGACAGGGGTCACTCAGGTGCCATTAACCCATTACTGCCTGAGAGTGCAATCCTTCTCTAGCTTATTGTGATCCTTCTTCTTCTTTTGTTGGTTCGGTCAGCAGGGAAGGGACAATCGCTCAGAAAGCCCGACTTTATTTTATGATTGGATAGAGAGGGGAAGGGTTGGATCTTTCTATTTGTTCGATCTTAAATGCCGTCACCGAGATATCTCTTCTCATCCTGATCTTACAGCCATCATCTAGACAGAAAGTAAGGGTAAACCTCCCTCATGTGGACATATAAAAAAAAAGCCAATACGTGTTGGGGTTCCAAGGATCCTGCTTCATCGGGGCTCTGCACTGTTGTAGGGGGACCCCTTTTAACCCCTGAAACATGTTAGCTTTTTATGATACAAAATTCGAAACAAAAATAAAATCTGGGTGTAATGGGTGCTTTGGGTGCTTTCCTCCCTGAACAATCAGTCCCTGCTGGAGCAAAGAACCAACTGTACGGCCACCTGTCCCAGAATCACAAGTTGTCCAGCATCCTCGGGGGTGGATACCAGCGGCTTATTAAATGTTCTAATGATGTCAGTGGCTATAATTCTACAACTCTGACTTGTCTGTGGTTGTAGAACAACCAGTCCCAGCATGCACTTTCAGCTTCTTTATGGTACTATTAGTTACAGCAGAATCCTTGCAGCTTGTATTTGTTACGTCTAACCACCATTGTCTCTAATTGGACCCAGACAAACGTAACGGGAGTAATCTGCAGCACTGGCAGCTCCTGGACCGGATACTACAGCAAATCGTCCTTCAGGATGAGAGCGGAGAAGATCCCGATGTGTCCGCACTGGAGAACTTCAATGTCAAGAATATTATAAAGATGTACGTTCTCTGTACCCCCCAACCCCCACCTCTCTATATTTTTTACTGTTTTTAAGTATCACTATCTGCACCAGAGGAGCTTACACTTTAATGCATTATAACACTATTATTATACATTTATATAGCTCTGATATATACCGAAGCGCTGTACACAGAACATTGAGCCAGTCACATCAGTCTCTGCAGCAGAGGAGCTGACACCCTAATGTCCCCTCCCCCACAGTCACATCAGTCTCTGCAGCAGAGGAGCTGACACCCTAATGTCGGCCCACAGTCACACACTATTATTATTATACATTTATATAGCTCTGACATATACCGCAGCGCTGTACAGAGATCCCTGAGCCAGTCACATCAGTCTCTGTACCAGAGGAGCTTACACTCTAATGTCCCCTCCCCCACAGTCACATCAGTCTCTGTACCAGAGGAGCTTACACTCTAATGTCCCCTCCCCCACAGTCACATCAGTCTCTGTACCAGAGGAGCTTACACTCTAATGTCCCCTCCCCCACAGTCACATCAGTCTCTGTACCAGAGGAGCTTACACTCTAATGTCCCCTCCCCCACAGTCACATCAGTCTCTGTACCAGAGGAGCTTACACTCTAATGTCCCCTCCCCCACAGTCACATCAGTCTCTGTAGCACAGGAGCTTACACTCTAATGTCCCCTCCCCCACAGTCACATCAGTCTCTGTGCCAGAGGAGCTTACACTCTAATGTCCCCCACAGTCATCACTGCACCAGAGGAGCTGAGACTCTAATGTCCCCTCCACCCAGTCACATCAGTCTCTGTGCCAGAGGAGCTTACACTCTAATGTCTCCTCATTCACAGTCACATCAGTCTCTGCACCAGAGGAGCTTACACTCTAATGTCCCCTCCCCCACAGTCACATCAGTCTCTGTACCAGAGGAGCTTACACTCTAATGTCTCCTCATTCACAGTCCCATCAGTCTCTGCACCAGAGGAGCTTACACTCTAATGTCCCCTCCCCCACAGTCACATCAGTCTCTGTACCAGAGGAGCTTACACTCTAATGTCCCCTCCCCCACAGTCACATCAGTCTCTGTACCAGAGGAGCTTACACTCTAATGTCCCCTCCCCCACAGTCACATCAGTCTCTGTACCAGAGGAGCTTACACTCTAATGTCCCCTCCCCCACAGTCACATCAGTCTCTGTACCAGAGGAGCTTACACTCTAATGTCCCCTCCCCCACAGTCACATCAGTCTCTGTAGCACAGGAGCTTACACTCTAATGTCCCCTCCCCCACAGTCACATCAGTCTCTGTGCCAGAGGAGCTTACACTCTAATGTCCCCCACAGTCATCACTTCACCAGAGGAGCTGAGACTCTAATGTCCCCTCCACCCAGTCACATCAGTCTCTGTGCCAGAGGAGCTTACACTCTAATGTCTCCTCATTCACAGTCACATCAGTCTCTGCACCAGAGGAGCTTACACTCTAATGTCCCCTCCCCCACAGTCACATCAGTCTCTGTACCAGAGGAGCTTACACTCTAATGTCTCCTCATTCACAGTCCCATCAGTCTCTGCACCAGAGGAGCTTACACTCTAATGTCCCCTCCCCCACAGTCACATCAGTCTCTGTACCAGAGGAGCTTACACTCTAATGTCCCCTCCCCCACAGTCACATCAGTCTCTGTACCAGAGGAGCTTACACTCTAATGTCCCCTCCCCCACAGTCACATCAGTCTCTGTACCAGAGGAGCTTACACTCTAATGTCCCCTCCCCCACAGTCACATCAGTCTCTGTACCAGAGGAGCTTACACTCTAATGTCTCCTCATTCACAGTCCCATCAGTCTCTGCACCAGAGGAGCTTACACTTTAATGTCCCCTCCCCCACAGTCACATCAGTCTCTGTACCAGAGGAGCTTACACTCTAATGTCCCCTCCCCCACAGTCCCATCAGACTCTGTACCAGAGGAGCTTACACTCTAATGTCCCCTCCCCCACAGTCACATCAGTCTCTGTACCAGAGGAGCTTACACTCTAATGTCCCCTCCCCCACAGTCACACACTATTATTATACATTTATATATCTTTGACATATACCGCAGCGCTGTACAGGGAACACTGAGCCAGTCACATCAGTCTCTGTACCAGAGGAGCTGACACTTTATAATGTCCCTTCACAGTCAACCAACTATAGAGGATATAGCTGTGACATATTCTATAATGCTGTACAGAGAACACTAGGCCATCCATGTTACTATCTGAACCAGAGGAGCTCACGCTCTAATACCCCTCTCCCCCATTTCAATAGATCTTACATACACTATATTGCCAAAAGTATTGGCCCCGCCCTCCATATCATGTGATTCAGGTGTTCCAATCCCCTCCATATCATGTGATTCAGGTGTTCCAATCCCCTCCCAATCATGTGATTCTAATGTTCCAATCCCCTCCATGGACACAGGTGTATACAATCCATCCCCTAGGCATGCAGACGGCTTCTACAAACATTGGTGAAAGAATGGGTCGCTCTCAGGAGCTCAGTGACTCCAAGCGTGGTCCCGTGATAGGTGGCCACCTGGGCAATAAGTCCATCCGTGACATTTCCTGGCTACTAAATATTCCACGCTCAACTGTTAGTGGGATTATAACAAAGTGGAAGCCACTGGGAACAACAGCCACTCAGCCACCAAGTGGTAGGCCACGTCACATGACAGGGCGGGGTCAGCGCATGCTGAAGCGCACAGTGCGCAGAAGTCACCAACTGTCTGCAGAGTCAATAGCTCAAGACCTCCAAACTTGGTGTGGCCTTCAGATGAGCCCAACAACAGTGCGTAGAGAGCTTCATGGAATGGGTTTCCATGGCCGAGCAGCTGCATCCAAGCCTTCCATCACCAAGTGCATTGCAAAGTGTCGGATGCCGTGGTGTAAAGCACGTTGCCACTGGACTCTAGAGCAGGGGAGACCCTGTTCTCTGGAGTGACCAATCATGCTTCTCTGTCTGGCAATCCGATGGACTTGTCTGGGTTGGGCGATTGCCAGGAGAACGGTACTTGCCTGACTGCATTGTACCAAGTGTAAAGTTTGGTGGAGGGGGGATTATGGTGTGGGGGTGTTTTTCAAGGGTTGGGCTTGGCCCCCTAGTTCCAGTGAAAGGAACTCTTAAGGCGACATTTTGGACAATTTCATGCTCCCAACTTTGTGGGAGGAGTTTGGGGATGGCCCCTTCCTGTTCCAACATGACTGCCCACCAGTGCACAAAGCAAGGTCCATAAAGACATGGAGGAGCCAGTTTGGGGTGGAGGAACTTGACTGTCCTGCACAGAGTCCTGACCTCAACCCCATAGAACACCTTTGGGATGAATTAGAGCGGAGACTGCGAGCCAGGCCCCCTCCCCCGACATCAGTGCCTGACCTGACAAATGTGCATCTGGAAGAATGGTCCAACCTTCCCATAGACACCCTCCTAAACCTTGTGGACGGCCTTCCCAGAAGAGTTGAAGCTGTTATAGCTGCAAAGGGCGGGGCCAACTCAATATTGAACCCTACGGACTAAGACTGGGGGGCCATTAAAGGTCATGTGTGTGGAAAGGGCGGGGCCAACTCAATATTGAACCCTACGGACTAAGACTGGGGGGCCATTAAAGGTCATGTGCGTGGAAAGGGCGGGGCCAACTCAATATTGAACCCTGCGGACTAAGACTGGGGGGCCATTAAAGGTCATGTGTGTGGAAATGGCGGGGCCAACTCAATATTGAACCCTACGGGCTAAGACTGGGAGGCCATTAAAGGTCATGCGCATGGAAAGGCCGACGGCCCAATACTTTCGGTAATATAGTGTATACCGCAGTACAGAGAACATTGGATCTGACGTGTCTGTTAACATCTGAACGGACGTGGTCACAGTCAAGTCTTTCCCTGGGGGGGGGGGGGATGTAGTGAATGGCGTCCAGCTGTATGATATTCCTGAAGCAGATTTGCTTTCTTACTTTCAGGTTAGTAAATGAGAACGAGGTGAAGCAATGGCGGGAACAAGCAGAGAAGTTCAGGAAAGGTAAGTGGCTCTGTGTACGGATGACATTGGGGGTGTTCATATTGTCGGCTCTAGGATGGCATTGGGGTTGGCTGATGAGGGGCTGTGCGCCGGATCCTTGTACCGTGTGCGCTGATGTACAATGTGACGGAGCCGTGCAGTGCGTTGTTACAATGCATCACATTGTTGCATTGTTTTCCAATTTTTTTACTATATTGAGATATCAAAAAATGTATATTTTATGACATGAATCTCATCATTACAGCTCATCGATTATGACGACAAAAACAGAACTTGTGTCCCCTTATACCAGGCATCCCAATCTCTCAGTATCCCGCATCACAGTGACCCCTTACCTCAAGAGTCCACAGCATAGTCCCTCACCCCCAATACATCAGGAGTCCTCATCACAGTCCCCTCTTACATCAGCAGTCCTTATCCAAGCCCCTCCCTCTATATTCCAGGAGTCCTCCCTACATCCTCCTAGCAGATTCCCCCTTAAATCAGGCACCTCCCATCATAGTCTCCCCTTACATCAGGAGTCCTCCTTAAGGTCAACCCTTACATCAGTGTCCCACATTATAGTCCTCCTCACAGCAGGAGTGCTTATCACAGTTCCCCCTTCATACATCAGGAATCCCCAGCAGATTCCCCTTTAAATCAGGTACACCCATCATAGTCCCCCCTTACATCAGCAGTCCTCGTCAAAGTCCAACCTTACATTAATGTCTCCACATTACAGCCCCTCCCCTACATCAGGAGTACTCATCAGAGCCCCCCTTATACATTAGAAGCCCCTCATCAGAGCCCTCCTCTTATCAGGTACTCCATTAGAATGCCCTTTTACATCAGGGTCCCCGTCAGAGTGTTCCCTTGAATCAACTGTCCCCATTAGAGTGTTCCCTTGAATCATCTGTTCCCATCAGAGTGCCCCCTTACATTAACTGTTAACATCAGAATTCCCCCCTTTTATCACCTGTCCCCTTCAGAGTGCCCCCTACATCATCTGTCCCCATCAGAGTGCCCCCTTACATCACCTGTCCCCATCAGAGTGCCCCCTTACATCAACTTTCCTCATCAGAGTGCCCCCTTACATCACCTGTCCCCATCAGAGTGCCCCTTTACATCATCTGTCCCCATCAGAGTGCCCCCTTACATCACCTGTCCTCATCAGAGAGCCCCCTTACATCATCTGTCTCCATCAGAGTGCCCCCTTGCATCACCTTTCCCCATCAGAACCCCTCCTTACACCAATTGTCCCAATCAGAGTGCCCCCTTACATCACCTGTCCTCATCAGAGAGCCCCCTTACATCATCTGTCCCCATCAGAGTGCCCCCTTGCATCACCTTTCCCCATCAGAACCCCTCCTTACACCAATTGTCCCAATCAGAGTGCCCCCTTACATCAGTTACCTCCATCAATGCTACTTACATCACTTGTCTCAGTCAGAGTTCCCTCTTACATCACCTGTCCCCATCAGAGTGCCCCCTTACATCAACTGTCCCCATCAGAATGCCCCCTTACATCACCTGTCCCCATCAGAGTGCCCCCTTACATAACCTGTCCCCAGCAGAGTGCCCCCTTACATCACCTGTCCCCATCAGAGTGCCCCCTTACATCACCTGTCCCCATCAGAGTGCCCCCTTACATCACCTGTCCCCATCAGAGTGCCCCCTTACATCACCTGTCCCCATCAGAGTGCCCCCTTACGTCACCTGTCCCCATCAGAGTGCCCCCTTACATCACCTGGCCCCATCAGAGTGCCCCCTTACAGGGGTGTAAGAAAAACTGGGGGTTTACAGCCCCATCAGCACCACCCTAGATCCCGGTATATGGTTGAAGAAGGAGTATGCGTAAGTTTCTTGTGGGTGAGGACATCTAGTGACCCTCCACAAATGCTAACAGCGGTCACTGACTTGGCTTCGTTTAGCAACAAAGCCATTGATGTCCATGTCAGCATTTAGAGGACATGCAGAGCACGTGGTCATAGGTTTTAGGCCGGTGGGTTGTCACGTGTTGAAATGTTCCTCCTCTGTCCCTCCTCCAGAGCACACGGAGCTGACCAGCCGGCTGGAGAGGAAGGAGAGGGAGTGTGAGACGAAGACTCAGGAGAAGGAGGACATGATGAAGACCCTCAACAAGATGAAGGACAAGCTTCAGAAGGAGTCGGTGGAGCTACGCCATGCCCGGGACCAGATGGGGGAGCTGATGGCTCAGCTGAACGAGTTCCCGGTAAGAGAGAAGGGGGATCCGTGGATTTGGGGCAAAAATTTCCCACCTGATTTATACTAAAATTCACCAAAAGAGACTGGAGAGCGGCCCACCCAATGGATATTGGTTCAGTGGTCTCCAAACTGCAGCCTGGGGGCTGGATGAAGCACTTTGCCTACCTTTATCTGACCCTTGGGGCACTATGCCACCAACTGACCCCAATGATGGGGCACTATGCCACCAACTGACACCAATAATGAGGCACTATTCCACCAACTGACACCAATGATGGGGCGCTATTCCACCAACTGACACCAATGATGGGGCGCTATTCCACCAACTGACACCAATGATGGGGCACTATTCCACCAACTGACACCAATAATGAGGCACTATTCCACCAACTGACACCAATGATGGGGCGCTATTCCACCAACTGACACCAATGATGGGGCACTATTCCACCAACTGACACCAATGATGGGACACTATTCCTCCCACTGACACCAATGATGGGACACTATTCCTCCCACTGACACCAATGATGGGGCACTATTCCTCCCACTGACACCAATGATGGGGCACTATTCCTCCCACTGACACCAATGATGGGGCACTATTCCTCCCACTGACACCAATGATGGGGCACTATTCCTCCCACTGACACCAATGATGGGGCACTATTCCTCCCACTGATACCAATGATGGGGCACTATTCCTCAAACTGACACCAATGATGGGGCACTATTCCTCCCACTGACACCAATGATGGGGCACTATTCCTCCCACTGACTCCAATGAAGGGGCACTATTCCTCCCACTGACACCAATGATGGGGCATTATTCCCCCCACTGACTCCAATGAAGGGGCACTATTCCCCCCACTAATACCAATGATGGGGCACTATTCCTCCCACTGACACCAATGATGGGGCACTATTCCTCCCACTGACACCAATGATGGGGCACTATTCCTCCCACTGACACCAATGATGGGGCACTATTCCTCCCACTAATACCAATGATGGGGCACTATTCCTCCCACTGATACCAATGATGGGGCACTATTCCTCCCACTGACACCAATGATGGGGCACTATTCCTCCCACTGATACCAATGATGGGGCACTATTCCCCCCACTAATACCAATGATGGGGCACTATTCCTCCCACTGACACCAATGATGGGGCACTGTTCCTCCCACTGACACCAATGATGGGGCACTATGCCACCAACTGACACCAGTGATGGGCCTGTGCAGGTCTTGGCTGTGTTCACAAATATATGAAACAGATCAGCCCCTGCTGCAGTCTCTCACCTTGACTTGCTACAAAGTTACAATGCATAGTCTGATCGCTGGGGGAGGGGAGACTGAGGAAACGCTTCCTCCTCCTTCTACAAAGTTACAATGTACAGTCTGATCACTGGGAGAGGGGAGACTGAGGAAATGCCTCCTCCTCCTTTTACAAAGTTACAATGTACAGTCTGATCCCTGGGGGAGGGGAGACTGAGGAAATGCTTTAGGAATATTAGAGAATAAAGCTGATTCTTTCTCGTGGTGTAATTATAATTATGTGGTTTTTTTTTTCCAGAATGGCGGTGCCCTTTCCTTCCCTCCTCCCCCTCCCCCACCTCCAGGGGGCCCCATTCCTGTCCCTCCACCCTTATCCGAAAACTTGCCACCCCCTCCTCCCCCCCAATCATTTTCCTGTTTTCCTCCTCCTCCCTCCGCCGCCGCCTCCGGGGGGCCCCCCGCCTCCGCCCGGAGCTCCGCCTTTCTTTGGAATGGGCATGATGGCTCCGCCCCTGAACTCCTTTAACCCCGGAACTAGCTTGAGGAAGAAGTCGATTCCGCAGCCGTCACATCCGCTGAAGTCTTTCAACTGGTCCAAACTGAACGAGGTACGGTAGGGGGCGCTCCTGTTCACTTGGCTCCTCCCACATAACAAAAAAAAAGAATATTCATGTTTGTTTCTATATTTCCTCTCATTTTTCATATTTATGGTTCCTGGATCATGTGAGATTTGCGGTTTATTTATTTCCTTTATGTCTTTTTTTTATCCGGCGTTACATTTCAGATGAATGGATGAGGCGCAAAAGGTTCAAATCACAAATCTAATGCAAATTCTTCTTTTAAAAAATGACTATTTTCAGTGAAGTACAATAAAAGTGAGTCACATGACTAGAATACAGATCCTCATTCATGTGTTGAAGCTTTGTGAAATGAGTCAATAGTAGCCAACTGCGCTATGCTGGGCGCAAATGTGTCTATTCATGATGGCTGCTCCCTCCCCACATGGATGAAAAATATATTGCAATTATAATTTAAAAATATTCTTCCCAAATATACTGACATATTATGTGAAATATTACAATTTTGGCCTTAATCAATATATTTCAATAAATATATATATATATACTGTATGTTGAAATGCATTTTTATTATGATTATTATTATTTTTTAAAAATACATTTCAGATATAATGTAAATCTTTAAAAATACATTTAATCTACATTTTTGGAATGCATTTACAAATATATGTTAAAGTATATGTTAAAAAAAATATGAAGAATATATTTAAAAAATATCTATTTTTAAAAAAAATATTTTTCATATATTTTGTAATATATAAAAAATGCATTTCAACATACAGTGTATATATATATATATATATATATATATATATATATATAAATGCATTTCAAAATACAGTATATATATATATATATATATATATATATATATATATATATATAAAATGCATTTCACTATATATATATATATATATATATATATATATATATATATATATAATTTTTTTTTTTTTATTATTATTGAAATATATTTTGAAATATATTGAATATGGCCAAAATTGTAGCATTTCAAATATATGGCAATATATTTGGGAAGAGTATTTTAAAAATACTCTTCCCAAATATATTGACATATATTTGAAATACTACAATTTTGGCCATATTCAATATACTATACTATATATTTCAATAAATATTTATTTATATATATATATATATATATATATATATATATATATATATATAAATACTGCTTGTATAAATAGACCCCTAATCTAAATCCAAAGCCGCCTTTTTTTTTTTCTTTAGTATACAGCAGTGAAGGATCGGAAGCTTTGTCGGGTTGTTATCATAAAGTGATTGACTTTTATTTGATTCATATTTAAAATATTCTTAATTTTTATATACATATTTTTTTTATATATATATATATTATATTTTTTGGTGTGTTTTTTTTTCATCTGTATAATATATATATAATTATTATTTTGTTTTTATCTGTATATATATATATATATAGTTTATATATGTGTATTTATTTTTTATTTCAATATTAATATTTTTTGTACTATTTTTTTCTTCTGAAAATGATTTATTTTCTCACTTTGTTGTTTCGTAATATAACGGTTTGTAACATTGTTTCACTTCAGTTTATGATTGTATAATTTGCCCCACTGAGACCCGGATTGTGTGCACGAGCAGCTACAGCAATTTATTGTCATTTTTTGTTTTTATTTCACCATAGTTAGCGTTTGAGTTATTCAGTATATTTTGTCGAGTTGTTAATTGCCATCTGTGACCTTTAGGAGATTCGCCGTATCTACGGCCCATAGTCATGGGGACAGAAAGGGACGAAAAAATCCAAAACGTTTCCGAGAGGAAATTTTATAATGGGGGGCACTTAGGCCAGCCATACATAGTCCGAAAATCAGACCTAAGAATAATCGGCTGATTTTCGCTCTGTTAGTCGGGTCAGTGGCACCGGCCGATTTTCGTGGTTCCTCCCCGTTTCGGTGATCGGGCATGTTGGAAAATTTGTGAAAAAAACCGATTGATTTTCGACTCAATGTTGGTCAAGTCGTACGATCGGTTTTTCCAAAAAGAATATGCCGTGACCTGGAAGGAACAGAAGTTTTGCCTGTTATATGGGGGGAACTTTATGACTCAGTCGGGTGATTTTCTAAATCAATGATGGCGCCATCAGATTACCGAGCGAACGGTTTCGATTTTCGGACGTAAAAACGTTCGGAATTTGAACCGTGTATGGCCTGCATTAAAGGGAGTGATCTCCTCTCACTTCCTGTTGTGCCTCCTGGACAGGAAGTTTTAACCACTTCCAGTCCAGACACTTTCCCCCCCTTCCAGTCCGGACACTTTCCCCCCCTTCCAGTCCGGACACTTTCCCCCCCCTTCCAGTCCGGACACTTTCCCCCCCTTCCAGTCCGGACACTTTCCCCCCCCCCCAGTCCGGACACTTTCCCCCCCCTTCCAGTCCGGACACTTTCCCCCCCTTCCAGTCCGGACACTTTCCCCCCCTTCCAGTCCGGATACTTTCCCCCCCTTCCAGTCCGGACACTTTCCCCCCCTTCCAGTCCGGACACTTTCCCCCCCTTCCAGTCCGGACACTTTCCCCCCCTTCCAGTCCGGACACTTTCCCCCCCTTCCAGTCCGGACACTTTCCCCCCCTTCCAGTCCGGACACTTTCCCCCCCTTCCAGTCTGGACACTTTCCCCCCCTTCCAGTCCGGACACTTTCCCCCCCTTCCAGTCTGGACACTTTCCCCCCCCTTCCAGTCTGGACACTTTCCCCCCCTTCCAGTCCGGACACTTTCCCCCCCCCCCCCCCTTCCAGTCCGGACACTTTCCCTCCCCCCCTTCCAGTCCGGACACTTTCACCCCCTTCCAGTCCGGACACTTTCACCCCCCCCCCCTTCCAGTCCGGACACTTTCACCCCCCCCCCCCTTCCAGTCCGGACACTTTCCCCCCCTTCCAGTCCAGGCCAATTTTCAGCTTTCAGCGCTATCACACTTTGAATGACAATTGTGCAGTCATGCAACACTGTGCCCATGTGAATTTTTTAGCATTTTTTTGAGAGAGATAAAACTTTATTTTGGTGGTATTTATTCACCGCTGGGATTTTTTTTTTTTATGCTATATTAATGTAAAAGTCATAAATTTTGAAAAAAAAAAAAGTGTTTTTCTTATAAAATTTTGCAAATAAATAATATTTCATCATAAATCTTGGCCAAAATTTATTCAGTTATCTTTTTAGTGAAAAAAAAACCCAAATTAGTTTTATAACCAACAATTACAACTTTTTTTTTACATTTTTATTTTATTTTTTTATATGATTGTTTATGCTTTTTTTTTTTTTTTTTTTCTTACACACTGTCACCCTAGCAGTACAGTGTTTTGTTTTTTTTTTTACACTGAGGGCTTTTACAGGCTGTAAAATCAATAATTTCTCCTTCTCTCTGGCTTCATTCCTGCAGCCATTGAGAAATACTGTGTGAGCTGTGATTGGTCACAGCTTATCACATGGTACAAGGCTGTTGTGAATAGCCCTGTACTAGGGGCGGACTGACCATTTGGAAACTTGGCACTGCCCGAGGGCCCGGGGTCAGTAGGGGGCCCCATGAGATGCCCCTGGTACCTTTTTTCATAGGCTTTTTTGAGTTTGGGCAAGGACAGAGGGGCCCCATGATCCCCTATTGCCCGGGGGCCCCATGAGTTGTCAGTCCACCCCTGCCCTGTACCATGTGATCTCTGTGATCATTCACAGATTTCACACTTCTGACATCATTGCTTACTACTATTCATGTGATCACTGATTGGCCAATCAGTGATCGCATGATTGGGACCTCACACAAAGGTCCCGTACGACGATCGGTGTTTCGGACACAGTGGGCACCGGATCACGGTGCTGCACACTCCCAGGGAGCGCGCACAAGCAGGGGGCGGGGGAAGCCGTTTATAAACGTCCACCCGCCCCTGCACTGCCACCGTCCGGCTGTTTATATACAACGGCCAGACGGAAGGTGGTTAAAAAAATTCATACCAGTAGGGACTCGGTCAGCTTGGCACGGGTGTAAATCGGTGAAGCCGCGCGTCAAATATTTTTGGTGAGGTGGACACGGGGACATATTGCGGGAAGGGACCGGATTGCGCCTTTTCCAGGAATCTGCTCTCACATTCCTGATAACATTTTGCCGGTCTCGGATTCTGGACAGCTGCCGCACGAACCCCGGCGAGTTCAGCCGATCGCTCACGCTGGGGCCTCGTGTGAAGCCTTGGAAATGGGCGCCCTGGGACGCGTGGAATGTTCTCTCATTTTATTAGTTTCTCGTTTTTTTTTATGTAAATAGCTTCTGGAAACACTTGTTGTTAAAGTAAATAAAAGGCAGAGCTGGATGGAGCGGCGCTATCCTGACCCCCCCCCCCCAATCGGCGATCGGTGATTGCTGTGGGTGCGCCCTCTATTGGCGACTTTCAGAACTGACATGGAGACTTTCACTTTCAAGTTGGCAAAGGCACCTCCTGTAATTCTTCTCTGACAGGTTCTCTTTAAAGCTGATTTGATTATTTTACATTCCATCCCTTCCTCCCCTCAACATGCAAATAAAACCTTTCTGTTTTCATTGCCTACCATATTTTAGACTCTGTGCTTCTCTATGCAATGCAGGTGGATCGTGGCTGGTGGGAGGGGCACACACTGTAGCATCCTGAAAGCACCACTGCATCCCTGCCTCGGTACTTCTCTCAGAAAACCTCAGTCCTGATGCAAGCAGCAGGGGTGGGCTCTTGGGAGGAGTTATGCAAATATCAAAATGCCTTTAGGGGTGGGTGTCAGTCTAGAGGAGTGGGCGTTCCTAATTTGCTCGCAGACCTCACCTAGACAACACACACATGTGATACTTGGCCTCCGTGATTGACAGATCTGAAGTCCAGTGAGCGAAAGGGGTGGGCCTGGGACAGGCAGGTTGGGGGGGGGGAAGAAAGAGCTGTATACAGTTGTCTTGTCCCCTTAGCAGAAAAACACACCCAAAGCAGAATGTTTCCACCACCATGTTTCACAGTTGGGATGGTGTTCTTGGGGTCATAAGCAGCATTCCTCCTCCTGCAAACACGGCGAGTTGAGTTGATGCCAAAGAGCTGGATTTTGGTCTGCTCTGACCACAACACTTCCCACCAGTCCTCCTCTGCATCATTCAGATGTTCAGTGGCAGACTTCAGACGGGCCTGGACATGTACTTTCCTGAGCAGAGGGACCTTGCGGGCACTGAAGGATTTTAGTCCTTGTCGGCGTAGTGTGTATACCAATTGTTTTCTTGGTGACTGTGGTCCCAGCTGCCTGGAGATCATTGACAAGATCCTCACGTGTAGTTCTGGGATGATTCCTCACTGTTCTCATGATCATTGACACTCCACGAGGTGAGATCTTGCATGGTGCACCAGACCTAGGGAGACTGACACTTGTTTTGTGTTTCTTCCATTTGTGAATGATTGCACCAACTGTTGTCACCTTCTCACCAAGCTGCTTGGCCATAGTTTGGTAGCCCAGTCCAGCCTTGTGTAGGTCTACCATCTTGTCCCTGACATCCTTGGACAGCTCTTTGGTCTTTGCCATGGTGGAGAGTTTGGAATCTGATGGTTTGATGGCTCCTGTGGACAGGTGTCTTTTATACAGGTAACACAATGAGATTAGAGGCACTCCCTTTAAGAGACTGCTTCTAATCTCAGCTTGTTACCTGTATGAGAGACACCTGGAGCCAGAAATCCTGCTGAATGATAGGGGATCCAATCCTTCTTTCCCTCATGAACATGCAGATCAGTCATCATTTGTTAGACGCATTTCTGCTGAATTTGTTGTTGTATTCTGTCTCTCAGTGTTACAACCGAACATTCCATTGTTAGACCGATCATTTCTGTGTGAGGGGCGAACATTCCATTGTTAGACCGATCGTTTCTGTGTGAGGGGCGAACATTCCATTGTTAGACCGATCATTTCTGTGTGAGGGGCGAACATTCCATTGTTAGACCGATCATTTCTGTGTGAGGGGCGAACATTCCATTGTTAGACCGATCATTTCTGTGTGAGGGGCGAACATTCCATTGTTAGACCGATCATTTCTGTGTGAGGGGCGAACATTCAGCATCAAGCCGGGAGCAAATACACATTTCCTTCACTGTATGTAATGACATCTCCAATGGATACATAACTGTAAGAAATGATTGTTTTTGGTGTGCTCTGCGCGGCGCGCTTCAGCAGGAAGGGGCACATGTGAGAGCCAATTCATGACAATTTCTCCAGCTGTGTCGTTTGGCCGGACCAGTACAAAAGTGAAACCGTAACCAAAGCCGAGTTCTCTATAAAGGAGGGATACAAGGGGTGGGGATATCCAGCCTCGTCCGGGGGGGATTAAATTACGGATC